ACTTAAGTTTGAAAAATGAGATTATATGATCCCTACTAACTCTAAATTTCAGTGATCCTGTGTGTGTGTTTTAATTATTTCATCAGTTCAGAAGGTCAGGGTCTTTTCTCTTTGTATATTTTCAGTATAGATATTCAACTAAAAGTAGAGAAGAAAATTCTTATTTTTTATAATTATCACTATGAATATGATATCAAATGATGATCCTTTCCCGGTTTTAGGTAAAATACAATTATTCAGAGAAAATAAATTGCAAAAAGTTAATCTTACTTTATAATTCAGAATGAAGGGAAAAGTCTCCCCTCTCCTGAGAATTAAAAAAGCTAACAATGGCACATAAGACATTTAAAAGCATTTTCACTGCAAACTAAAAACCAGAGAAAATATATCTTTAAAAGCTTTAAAGGCCGGGCGCGGTGGCTCACGCCTGTAATCCCAGCACTTCGGGAGGCCGAGGCAGGTGGATCATGAGGTCAGGAGATCGACACCAGCCTGGCTAACACGGTGAAACCACATCTCTACTAAAACTACAAAAAATTAGCCGGGCGTGGTGGCGGGCGCCTATAGTCCCAGCAACTCGGGAGGCTGAGGCAGGAGAATGGCGTGAACCCAGGAGGCGGAGCTTGCAGTGAGCGGAGATTGCGCCACTGCACTCCGGCCTGGAGGCCAGAGCAAGACTCCGTCTCACAAAAAAAAAAAAAAAAAAAAAAAAAAAAGCTCGAAAACATTTTTAGAATATTTATCAAAATGATTCTTATAAACTTAATAGTTTGTTTTACCTACCTTAAACATTTGGTCGGCAACGAATATAAATTCCTACCACTCAAGAGAAAATGAATTAAGCACTTACATTGTTAAAAAAAAAAAAAAAAGTAATTTAAAATGAGAATATCAAATCAGTAAATAAGATTACAGAGCTAAATATCAAATGAATGAGTCATACGGAAAGACTTTCTTCAATTTTTATTCCTAGGTATGTGGCTCACAGGCACTTTTCCCTGAGAACCTGATATAACAGATATTTCCAAGCCACATTCACCAGCTGTAATAGTGGCCAACTGAATCTACATCTATGCAGCTAAACTAATTTCATAGGAAGTCCTGCAAAGTCAGTAACTAGTCTGCATCCTAAATTCAGAAATTAGTCATTTTTCAACCCTTCACTATCAATCAACTCATTGATTTATTTAATTGTCCTACAGTCCTTATTAAAGGTTTTTTTTAATCCTAGGAAGAGGTTTTTATCCCACAATGGGCTGTGGGAACAAAGAACAAATATAGCTTGACACAGCAATTATAGGTTTAACTTCTAAGTTAATTTGTATTTTCAAATCTAGAGGAAGGGGTGCCCAAAGTAGGACACATTCTCTGTAATCAGATAAGGGCGAAGGTACAAGCTTTACCGATACAACCTGAACGGAATTCCAAATATTTCAAAAGAAATGATACTGGAGACCAGAGTCAAATCACTTATTTAAGCAGAATAATTTAAAAAGGAAATTTTGTTGTATAGCATAATTAAAACACTAAAAATTTCCTCATCTTGAGGTGCTGAGGACATAAATGTGTGAAAATATTGACAATTTCTACAGATCATCAGATGACAGACTGAAAAAAAGCTACTGAATGATACCACAAGCCTATTTAAGTTTGTGTTATACTAAGCAAATCGATTTATTTAAAGATATCCATCTACACTAACTGCCATTGCATTAATTCTACTGCATTTTTAAGAATCATGTAGTTTAGGCTCAAACATGGGTCTGAATTTGAAACTTTGAAAACACTAGAGATAGAAGAGCAATGAAAAACATTATTTCAGGGGCTCCTATGGATTTCTCCAGGCAGGAAGAATGCAATCCAGAAGAATGCTTCAAGCGCACTAAAAGGCAGCTTAGAGCTGGTTATATGGACCCTGGTTATGAACAACATAAGGAAAAAAAAGGCCATTATTGCACCAGAATTACCATTATAAAAATACTATAAACAATATCAAAGTTAGATTGGGTCAATGCCCAGAGGGTTTTATTATCATCAACACTAACAACTGCCTCACAAAATATGCTTAACAATTCATTTGTCTGAAAATTGTGAAAAGTTTATATTCCTGTATAATTTTAGAAACAATAATTTTTAAAAATGCATAGCAACATTTATATACATAATCTGATTGTATTGTAAATACCGTGCAAATAAAAATGCTACAGCTTTTAGAAGTGAGAGAAGAATTACAAGGAAAAAAAATGAAAGACAGAATTCCAAACACAGGACCAGGAACCTCAATTAATTCAGCACAGCTTTGCAGTGTCAAATAAAGTCTATCATAGAAAGCTATATGGGAGTGTAAAACTTCTGTTTCTGGACTTTGATCCAAGCTGTCATAAAAACTTGCCCTCACTTAATATCTCTTATTTCTAGTATATGCCAGATATTCTCAAGCTTTTGCCTGGTACAAAACAAAGCAATAAAGTCAGTCATGTCATCCTTACAATATTAAATGACCTAAAACATCACCCACAATCACAGAGCGGATTAGTAATTAATGAAAGGTAACTTTATTCTAATATGCTGTCAAGAATAACAACAGCTCTTAAGCCGCATTAGCACCAGGAAAGCTTCAGTTGTAAAGGCATAAGCATTAAAGCCCTCAATTAACACAGTAGCTGAGGCCTTTAGGACTGCAAATTGTCTAGAATAGTGACCTGGGAGTTTTCCAGATGTGATTTATTGATCTCAAATTAATGTTTACGCCAACAGACTATGTTCTCAATCATTCAATTGACACCTTCAAATGGACATAAACAGGTTGTGATAACTAAAAAGCTCCAAGCTATAGCTTTTTTTTTTTTTTTTTTGAGATGGAGTCTCACTCTGTTGCCCACGTTGGAGTGTAGTGGTGCGATCTCGGCTCACTGCAACCTCTGCCTCCCGGGTTCAAGCAATTCTCCTGAGTAACTGGGATTACAGGCACGCGCCATGCCTGGCTAATTTTTGTATTTTTAGTAGAGACGGGGTTTCACCATGTTGGTCAGTCAGGCTGGTCTCGAACTCCTGAGCTCATTATCTGCCTGCCTCGGCCTCCCAAAGTGCTGGGATTACAGGCATGAGTCACCGTGCCGGGCCCTACCTATATAGCTTTTAATGAGATGCATAGCTCTCTACTTGAAGACAGTGATAGTAAACAATGTAATATAATAGCATAAATGCTTTCAAGGTCGACCCAAATTCACAGGTGTTTGAGAATCTGGGAATGCCAGAACCTTGATGTTCAATAACTACCATTGAATGTAGATCATTTAGTCTGAGAAAAGGATGGAAAATCATGCATGAATGTCCAATGACAGCAGTTAAATAATGCAGAAATTGTTTATGTCAGCAAGCCTGATTACTGGTGCAGATGGACAATCTGGGTGAATATAAATATATTTTAAAGTTTAAAACATGCCACATACATCTACAGAACTATTTTGTTTCATGGGTTTCTTGAATCACATACAATATTCATTTTACACTTACAAAGTGTAAAAAGAGGGAAAAAGCAAAGTAATGTAAGCTTCTACTTAAAAAAAAAAAATCCTGAGCTATAAAGTTAAAACGTATGCAATAAGTTTTTACCACAATAATGTGAACCACACTGGGGTTAGTGGTTTGCATTTTCATAATCAACAAATGTCCATCCTCTTATTCACATTTTAAGTCTCCTGCTAATGCCACCAAATATAAAACCAAATTGGAATATTGTTTCATGAAAGACCTCTGGCTACACACAAATTCTTAGGTTATATTCTTTGATGACTCTCAGCACTTTATTATGACTCTTAAAATTGAGGACCTGCACTATTAAATATTTTACACTTTCATTTTCCAACTTACACTCAACATAAACTCTTAAGAATATGTATACACACACATACATATACCACAGAAAGTGTTCAGCCTACTGCCAACATCAACTGTAATTTAAAAACCCTAACCGAAATTTTTTTAAAAGTTTTTTTAGAGTCTCAGATGATCTAAATTTTACAGTGAGCATGGTAATTTTGAGAAATAGGATTTTGATCCTATGCTGCTTGGGAGAAAAAGTAATGGGAAAAGAAATGTAACTCAGCTCTTTCCATTTATTTTCCAATAAAATGTTGCTACACTTTCAAAGTGTTGGTAGGTTCTGAAAATGTAGTGTTCTTATCTATGACTAGTCAAAAACGACCAACAAGCCATCCCTAGTTTACATCTTTAAAAGAAAAATAGGGAACGAAGAAAGGACATTTATGCTGATTTATTACACAATAACTTTTTTTCTTTAAACTTTTTATAATCTGCCTAAAGAACAGGTCCAATACACACTTTTAAAAGTCTGCCGGGTTCTCTGGCCCGCTGATCATTCTCTGCGCTGTAATTTAAGGAGAGCAGAAGGCTGGGAATGCGCAGAGTGAAAGGAAAGTGGGTGCAGATGGCCTCAGAAGAGCAGATGACCCCTGAAAACTGTTGGTCCACAGTAACCGATCATTCTAGACCTCCATGGCCTTAGTGGCTCACCCTAAACTCGCAAACAAGTGCCCTTGAAAAAGAAACCACTTTCAGGGCTATACTCTGGGCGCTCAAGATTTAGGGTTTTGAAGGAAGAAGGTGAAAGCGGGGGAAGATGATTTTAAAAGAAGGGCTGGGTTACTAAAGAGAAAAGATTAATCCCAGGGCCTTCCACTCTGTCAAAAAAAAAAAAAAAAAAAAAAAAAAAGCCCCTGAAAGTGATTAAATTGACACCAACTCTGGACGTTCCTTAGGAGAAAAAAAAAAAAAGATTTAAAAGGGCCCAGTTTAAGACCCTCATTAATACATCTGCAAGAGAGCAAAGAATAACAACAACAACAAAAGTTATACAGTCCATTTTCAATGATACATCGTCCCACTGGTGCCACCGGGGCGCCACCACCCAGCACCCGAGACCCGCCGCGCCCCCGGAAAAAGTGGGAAGGGGGATAAGGGGATGCTGAAGGAAGTACCTCGTTTTGTCTCCAAAGGGCAACATAGCAAACGTGGTAAGTTCGTTTTCGAACTTCGCCGATCCTGGACTCCAGGAGGCTCCGTAGGGGCAACAGCGTGCCCAGGTGAGGTGAGGTGAGGTCGGCGACTCGGAGCCAGCTCCCTCACGGCCCCGGCCTCCCCGCCGCCGCCCGTCGCCTCCCGCTCGCCCCGCGCTGCGCCGCCCCCTGGCGGGGAGCGACCGGCAGAGCCGCGGCCGCGCGCCGGCGGGTGGGACCCGGGTGTCGAACCCGGGCGAGCTCCTCGAACATCACCGCCGGGCGTGTGTCACCCTCCCGGCCAAGGCGGCCAGCACCCGCTGCCCGACGGGCGCTGCCCAGAGCAGGCGGCAGCGGGGCACGGACTCCTTCTGCAAAGGCGCACGTCCTGGAGTCCGCGCACCCGGGCTATGCATCAACTCCTCAGACTTCGGGGAACCCGCCCGCCAAGCACTTTCTGCTCCATTCTTCTTCTCACTCTGCTCCCAGTCTCAATTCCTCCCCAACTCTCCCGCGAGCGTTTCCCACGAGCGCCCTGACTGCTCGCTGCGCAGCCGCCTCCAAAAGGACAGGCTCCCTCCTCCCCGCCCACCGCAAGGGCCGCCGCGGCGCTTGGCTCTGGACCAGAAAGAGCTGGCCTCTGGGGTCTCCGCTGCCCCTTGGGGTCCGCTCCGGGCGGCGCCTCCCCCTCGCCCTTTGTGTGCGCGCAGCAAACTCCTCTGCAGAGCTCTACTTTTGGCGGCGCAGCCATCGGCGGAAAAGCGAGTGAAAGGAGGTGCGCGGAAGAAGCAGGGGACTGGAAGGGGGGAAAAGGCGACCGCACTCACTTTGGGAAGGTTCCGTCATGTTGCCTTTGGGCTTCCCCGTGGTCTCGTCCCTAACCCCAGCTTCCCCGCCCAGCCAGGGCCAGGGCAAGGGGGGACGTGGGAGGAGCGGAGCCACCAAGACCGACTTGGAAATGGTGCTTCCGGAGCTGCAGGGAAGGGGCTCAGAAACTGTTTGGGTTTTGCTGATTGGATTTAGGGGAACCAGGGGGCTAGAGAGGGGCTAGGGAAAGGCCCGTGAGCACGAATGTATGAAAATAATCATGTTCCCGTGGAATACCAAGAAGGGCAGGGGTGAGGGTGGGAGGTCGGCAAGTACATTTTTGTATTTGAACTTTGTGAGCAAGTTGTATCAAATTCGACGCTTGAGTTTTTCGATTCTGCTCGCTTAGAGTTGAGGTTTCTACCTCGTAACAGGACCGAGGACCTACTCCAAAAGCAAAGGGCCTGGGAACAGGGGTGAACGAAGGGCACAATTCAATAGGAGAGAGAAATCAGCCCCGGGTCACACTCCATGACCCGGCCGGGTCTTCCGTGGGTCCTCTTCTTACCTGGTGGCTTTTCTAACAAAGTAAGAGAAGGTAAAGTCCCAGTGATCGTCCAGCCATGCTTCGACCGAGTCCTGATCCCTCTGCTGCTGCTTCTGCTGCTGGGGCTGCTGCTGCTGTCGCTGCCGCCCGAAGCTGGGGCCGGCCCGCTCCATGGTTGGCACCGAGCGCCTCGGAGGCTCTCTGGTACTGCTTTTCTACCCCAGCTGGGGTCCCTCCCTAGGAAGAACAGGATTCGGCCTAGAGACCCTCCCCCTTCGTCCAGCTCCAGTCGGGCCGGCTTTTGGCAAAGCGGCTGGAGCGCCAGGCCAGCCTCTTGCCCCGCCCTGCCCCGCGCGGTCCTCCGGGCGCCCAGGTGTGGTGGGCGGGGCCAGGCGCAGCTGCAGCTCCCCTCCCTGGGGTCCGCGAGTGTTCGGCTCTCGCAGGCTCTTGAGTCCCCTGGTTCCAAGGAGGCGGCGGCTGCGCCCGGCAAGCTCTCCGGAAGCCAAGTGGCCGCGGCTGGAAGGAGGCCACGCGGCCGCTGGGGTGCGCTGTGTGCCGAGCCGGCTTCTGGGGAGCGCGCTAGGTGACTGGGTGTGTTCTCAGAGTGCCCCAGGGAGGGAAGGTCGCGATGTGAGAAGTTTTGCCCCAAAGTAAGAGATGGTTAGACCCTGGGGCCTGGGAGTACAATGACCTTCCCGCCTAGCGTTTTCCTAGCCCTACGCTTGGGTCTTCAAGGAGCGGGACCGACCTCCTTAGGAGCCCAGCCCGCACAGTGACTTAAAGCGCTCCAGCCACGGACCACCGGGTGGAGAGAGCTGGGGCGTGTGCTAGCAAGACAGATTTGCAGGTGTAGGTGGGTAACTTGCAACAAAGCCATATCCGTGCTTAATGTTAGTGATAACAGCAATAACTATAACTTAAGTGCCTTTAACCATTGCCTCAAATTTTCCTTTTGCATAACTGGAAAAAGATTTTCTTGGAAAAGAAAAAGCGAACAAATAATTTCCAGTGCTTTGTGCATGAAGTTAGAAAACAAGGGCACCTCTGTACAATTAGATTAATCCGAGAGCACTGGCGCAATCTGAGAGCACCTGGGTGCTGTCGAGGGCAACCAGTTAGCCCAATTTTTAAATTAATACGTCATTTTAATTAAATTGGAATTAACACTCCCTCGAAAATATCCATTAAAAATGGCTCAGCTTTTTTGTCGAATCCCTATCTTGCTTCTTTAAAAAAAGAGTTGGTGTCATCCTTTGCTTTGTCTTCCTGTCATGCATTTGTAGTTTTAATATGGCATTTTGCAATGACTTATATTTTTTGGTAGGATTAAATCTGGAATTATGGATTGCACAATGTGTGAATGACACATCATTAGCACTGATATACCAAAAAAAAGAATTAGTTAGCTGATATACTTTTAACAAACTCCCTTCAAAATACTCTTGGCAAGAATGTAAGGCAGTATTTACTACATAGAAACACATCATTAAATTGATAATCTGAGAACTTTTAAAAGTATCTTCTAGTCCCCCAATACAATGGTTTATCTTTCCTTCATTGAGTAACTGACCTTTTGCGACTTCAGTTTTTCTGAAACTTTACGCGGGTAACCACAACCAAAGAAAATCAAAGCAGTAGAGTGAACTAATGTGTGATAAATTATATTGGATTTAAAAATGAGATTTCTCTCCTAATGTGTTACTGTGATAGTGACTATAGTGCTCATAGAAAACAGTCATGCGTCACTGAACAACAGGACACATTCTGAGAAATGCATCCTTAGGCAATTTTGTCCTCCTCTAAACATCACAGTGTACTCACACAAAATAGATGGCCCAGCCTACTACACACCTAGGCTATGTGGTAAACCTATTGCTCCTAGACCACAAATCTATACAGCATATGACTGTACTGAATACTGTAGGCTATTGTAATGCAATGATATTTGTGTATCTAAACACATCTAAACATAGAAAAGGCACAGTAAAAATATAGTGTTATCTTATGGGACTCATATATGCAGTCTGTCGTTGACTGACAAGTGGCACATTACTGTGGAGAGTTTCTCCTCAGTATTGTTTTTTCTTGTGGAAATCCATGCATTCCTCCTAACTGGAGGTCAATTGTAATTTAAAACTCTGCTTATCTACTAAAGATGCAGTGAATTGGGGGCTTGAATTATTTGCTTTTGTTGGATACTTGATTAAATAAACACATATAATCATTTCAATGTTTGTGTTCCCTCCAAAACTCATGTTGATACTTAATCCCTAATTCAACAGTATTAAGAGGAGGTGTCTTTAAGTGGTGTTTAGACCATTAGGGCTCTGCTTTGTGAATGCATTAGTGCCTTTTTAAAAAAGACTCAAAGGAGCCACTTGGCCCCTTCTGTTCTTTCCACTATGTGAAGACACAGCACTGACCCCTGCAAAGGATGCAGCAGCAAGGTGCCATTTTGGAAGCAAAGAGCAGCCATCACCAGATGCCAAATCTGCTGGCACTTTGATTTTGGAGTTTCCAGCCTCCAGAACTGAGAGAAATTAATTTTTATTGTTTATAAATATCCCAGTCTGTGGTATTTTATTATAGCAACACAAATGGACTAAGACAGTGGGTAATATCAAAATGTTAATTTTTCTCTCGTAACCTGAAAAGGTTAAATTATCAGAAACCAGGAAGGTTTCTGAAAAATCGCTTCAAGAAAAACAATCCGCCGGGCGCGGTGGCTCAAGCCTGTAATCCCAGCACTTTGGGAGGCGGAGACGGGTGGATCACGAGGTCAGGAGATCGAGACCATCCTGGCTAACACAGTGAAACCCCGTCTCTACTAAATATTACAAAAAAAACTAGCCGGGCGAGGTGGCGGGTGCCTGTAGTCCCAGCTACTCGGGAGGCTGAGGCAGGAGAATGGCGTGAACCCGGGAGGCGGAGCTTGCAGTGAGCCGAGATCTGGCCACTGCACTCCAGCCTGGGCGACAGAGCAAGACTCCGTCTCAAAAAAAAAAAAATAAATAAAAAAGAAAAACAATCCATAGGCTGGGCACAGTGGCTCATGCCTGTAATCTCAGAACTTTGGGAGGGCGAGGTAGGAGGATCACTTGAGCTCAGGAGTTCGAACCAGCTGGGTTACATAGCATGACCCTGTCTCTACAAAAAATTTTAAAACACTAGCCAGGCGTAGGGGAACACACCTGTAATCCTAGTTATTCGAGAGGCTGAGGCAAGAGGATTGAGCCCAGGAGGTCAAGGCTGCAGTGAGCCATGACCGTGCCATTGTACTTCAGCCTCAGTGACAGTGTGAGACCCCCGGCTCTAAAACAAAAAAGAAAAGAAAAGAAAAACAGTACATAGATTCTCTCAATAGTGAATCTCAAGTCTGTGTGGTATATATGATAGGTTGGGAGTGACTGTGAAGGCCTATTACCTGAGGAACATATCACAAGGGATTGGGGAGCAGAAGTGTCTCAAACAGTTCTAGTCTCTGGGAAATTCAGCCAAAATGTGTAACTATACCTCCTGTAAATTTAAAGCAGTTAAAGGTAAGCATATTTTGAACTGACATTACCCGGGCCTCTTGTTTTTCAACTTCATTTTATTCTTTATCCCAATTTGCTCAATTATTTTGTTTTAACTTGGTATGAATTGTTCTAAGCACCTCAAATCTTGTTATGGAATGAGTTGAAGAATACGTAAATCATAAACACTCCCAGGAAATAACCTGAAAAATGCTGTTAATGCTATTTATAACAAACAAATGAGCAACGATGTATATATGTGTATATATGTATGATATATATGTGTGTGTGTATATATGTATTTATTTTTTATAAACTAGCCAGACTGTGGTATTTTGTTATTGCAACACAAATGGACAAAGACATATATATATATAAAATCAATTATATATATGTGTATATACATAAATATACATATACATATATATATATATCATTGCTCATTTGTTGCTCACGAGCAACAACTTAACCTAAAGACCTTCAATGTATTCCCATTGTGCTAAAATAAAACTCAAACTGTATAACATGGCTTATAGGGTTCTACATTATTTGGCTGTTACCTACCTATACTGCTAAAGATTTTGGTCATACAAATAGAAAAAGCAAAAATAACCAAAAATAAATGCAACAAAGCAAAAACACAAAAAAGAAATATAAGGCATAAAAATTTAAAAATAAACATTCTCCATTTGCAGACATGAGTATCTATGAAGAATACCCAAAGGAATGTACAAAGCAACTACAAGAATTAAGAGATGGTTCAGCAAGGTTGCAGCATAAGTGGTGAGTATACCAAAATCAATTGTATTTCTGTATACCAGTCTTATGGGCTGATTTGTTTCCCCAGATTCATATGTTGAAGCCCTAACCCCTAGTACCACA